ATTCTACTGTCGTACAGGTCATTATCATTACCGTTACTAGCTGACGTATTTGAATAAACGGAAGATACAGTTGGTGGATTTATGTAATGAGTGCTTTGACCGAGAACGAATGTGTTAACTGCAGAATTTTGAATATTTAAACCATTTGTTGTATTTTGTTGATATTGGTTTGCACTGATAATTTCACTATAAAGTAATTCCTGTATTTTAACGCGAATAAACATTTTTCGATCAATCGGGAGATCATTTAAAGGTTTATGGAGACTCATTAAAAAGTAATATAAATCATCTTCTGGTTTTGACTTTGGGACATTCTGTGATTCGGATCTTCTTTTTTTCTAGATTTAGCAATTCATAGACAATATCAGTACCCCTCTTTCTTTTTGTATAACTACTGTTATTTGATACCGTCGGTGTTTCGTGATCGGTAGCTGAAGTTTGGCCTTCTATTTCTGAATTTCCTTCAATTTCAGTGACATCATCTATCTCTTGCGTATTTCTTTGCAGTGCGCATGATCGACCAGCGGTGACAGTGCAACACCTTTGAAGACTGCTGCTAATTTTTCTTGAAACCATTTGATCCTTTAGAAAAGACAGGTTTTTAAGCCACACCCACTTGGTCACATGATCTGCCTGGCTGCCGCCAGCAGCTCCTGATTTTTCTTTATTTATTTTTTTCACTTGCCCGAAAATTGTCTCTCAGGTTTTTCGATTTTGTTTTAGCAGTTTCAACTAAATATGAAAATAATATATATGAAAAAAGTATATTGATAGATAAGAGTAGGAAACTTAAGTATTGAATTAAACATTTTTTTTTCATGTTTTTGGCTACCGGATTATCATATAGAACACTCTTTCAGGATGAGTTTTTCGACTGTAGCAAGTATAGTGAAAGAAGTTTGTACCGCAATATGGGAGAAACTGCAGTCAGTTCATCTTGGGATACCTTCGGAACAAGATTTGTTAGAGATGAGCAGACATTTTTATAAGAAGTGGAATTTTCCAAATTGTTTTGGGTGCATAGATGGAAAACACGTAAGAATAAGATGTCCATCGAATACTGGAACAAGTTATTACAATTATTAACAGCATTTTTGTATTGTTTTACAAGCAGTAGCCGATGCTAACTGCCGCTTTATTTTTATCAACACAGGTGCCTCCGGTAAACAACCAGATGGCTGAATATTTCGAGAAAGTGCTTTATATCAGCATTTAGTTACTGGAAACTTAAATATACCAGCAGATCATAATTTACCAAACTCAGATAAAAAGCTACCATATGCTGTATTAGGAGATGAAGCCCATCCACTTCTGGATCATTTATTAAAACCATATCCACGAAAAAAATTGATGCACAGAAGACGATTTTTAACTATAGACTTTCAAGAGCACGAAGAGTTGTCGAATGTGCCTTCGGAATCCTTGCTGCAAAATGGCTTATTTTAACAAAAGCAATAGAAACATCTGCAGAAAATGCCTAAAATTGTTGATTGCATAAGTGTGTTGCATAATATAATTATTGATAAAGAAGGTATTGCCCTAATAGAAGACACAAAGGAAGACACAGATCTAAAGGAAAATAGGAAAAATAATAGTTCTACAGAACAAGCTAGGGATATGAATTGTTTAATGCAATATTTCAATAATGAAGGAGCTGTATCGTTTCAATTTAATGTTTTATAAATAAATTATATCATTATGTGAATATGTGTTTACTACTTACTTGTTATTCCACAAGAAGATGCTACATTTCCGATATTACATCACGATTATGATGTAAAGAACTTGTTTAATCCCATATGGGGGCTCGCAAAAATATCTCGTTTATTAATTTTTCGACATCCACCATATTTAATACTCAATCTTTCATGCTCAAAGACAAACTGATTTGTTTTGGAGAGGATCGCTCGCTGCGGACTCGTTACGATCGCTACGGCTCGCCACCAGTATGCACCCTCGCATTCAATTCAATTATATCAGTTTGTATTTTCCGCCTTGCTCGCAACGCTACGCCTCGCTTGATTCCGCCTTGTATGTGCACGTACACTTAGGTACACAACATTCTGAAAGCATATTTTGGACCAACTGTCTGTGTTCCTCTTTTAAATGGAGATTCCTGCAGGCACTTCAACTTTTATATTATTCCGTTTATAAGTGCGTTCCTGTTGGCTCTTATATACTTTATTATAATTAATTATAATCATAAATATATACACAATTTTATTGCTATTCTGTTGGAACTTTGTTTTCCAAAATATTTTCACTTTTACACGCCATCTTAATAGGAAATTTTAGGCAGATTAACATAAGGCTGGATAGATTGCATCCTGTACGTCCACCATACCCACCCACGCAACACAGACAATTGTAACTGAGATATAGGCATTTGAAGATTTCCTGTTATAATGACGGTCATGCTACCACCAATCCTTCTATATAAAAGGTTATAAATAAACAACATTTGGTTTTTAATTTTATAAACTTTACTATAGTTTTGGTTTAGATTATTTAGAGGAAAAAAGTAGATTTCAGGCTTAATAGGATATTTATTGAAATCTTACAGTACACCCTACAGAGCGAGGCTGTAATGAACTCTGGTCAGTCTCAAACGAGGGGTTGTGCGTTGAAGCGTTTGCAATTAATCAAGAACTCACTAAGCTGGTGAGTCCTACTTTTTTCCTTCGCGTTTTGTTAAACGTCAGTAGCCTATCGGTTCTCTTTCTGGTCACGCTTGGTTCTTGAACATTACTGGCAGTGGCAACAGGAACCCCCCAGGCCTCAACATTTGGCATTACGAACATGCTGACTATAAAGGGCACAGAGACTTTTCCTCCAGTACTCCTTGAGAGATGTTTGTTATGCTCCACGTTAGGATAGAGAAATGCATTTCCCAAACAGTGAAAGTGGCGTCAGGGTCTAACGGCAGGATCAAGGCATACCAACAGTAACTCAACTTGGTCTAGTTTTTGCCGGCAGCAATATGGGTTATTATACTTACTTTATAATGCAGAATACTTACTGATGGTTTATTATGACTGATGTACCATTCTCGTCTACTAAAGAAAACCTAAAAATATATAGGTACCATAACAGTAAGTCAAAACCAATGATTTTTGAGTAACTATGCTCTTCGTTGCAGTGGTCGATGTATTGGTGTTTTAGTTGGGTCATAGGTCTAAGGCAGCCGATCAGAATAGTAAAAAAATCGATCTTCAGAGATACTCGAGCGCGCCAGGCTAAAATAAGATGTGCAAAATACCTGCTGAAAAATGGTAATAATAATAATAATAAAAGGTCTTTATTGGAATATAAATGTACATAATATCTTATTCCTGATAGGCGGAGTCTAGATAAATCTTTTCCACTTAACCTACTCCAACAATAATATCGGTAACTAAGGAGAATATTGCAACATATAAATCTTTGCAGCGTACAAAAAATACATATTCAAGAATTCTATACATATGTTAGAGAAAGGAGATACTATGAAATTAAACAAAATAAATGAATGAAAAAGCAAATACAGTGAGATAAAGAATAAGAATAAACTGAATCAATCTGCCAAGGTAACGCTAACGATGTAGAAGGAGATGTTTAGCTTGTTTTTTCATACTATTCACCGACAAAGTTTTTAAAAATTCACTTGCATCATTGTATATTTTAATAGAATTATAGATAAGCGATCGACGGAGAAATATACTATTGTAAAGTGAGATTCCTAGGCGATTCTAATATCTGAAATCCGTCCTACTACGGCGAGATACAAGTGTTTTATAAAGATAGGATGGGGATTGGGTAATCAATACTTTATGGGGAAGAGTGAGCGTTTGATATTTGTCAGCTTCATCCATAGATAACCAACCCAGCTCAATTGTGTAACATGAAATATGATCATACTTCTTTAAACTAAAAACAATACTGTTTTGCAGTTCTTGCATCCTGTTCTTAGTAGCAGCATCGAGGCAGCACGAGTAATAAACTACACAGCAGTAAGAGTGTATAGGAAAGATTAGATGTTCATTAAATAATTTGACGATTTGAGTGTGACGTAAGGGAGTGGGAGGGTCACAAACTTATAAAGATTGAAGTGACCTTGGCGTTCTCAAACACGATCGATATTATTATTTCAAGGACAACAATTCAAGAATAATGGAAAATATGTATATAATCTACCGATTTCAACAAGCCGAAATGCAGGAAATTCACCAGTAAAGTTGTGTGCAGCTGCAGTAGAACCTGTCTTCCCCACTCCGTGCCTCTCGCCATCTTTCACTTTTCTCTAGCTCTTACTCTAATCAAAGTTGTGACTTTAATATCTACTCACACGATGCGTGATAATACTATAAGGTGTGAAACTTGTGACACATCGGAATACTCAGCCTTTGGAATGACACCTTATTTGATTTCACTTAATGGATATCAGAGACACGTGAGGCATATACACCTACAATACCAATATCTGACGCGCTCAGGTATTCCTACATAACTACCTTTTACATTTTTTAAAACTTAAACTTTTATTATTTCGGTCATCCAATCTTCAAAGTCCAGGAGGCTCTAGTCACTCCCATCCAGCCTTTTGGGCTTCTCTACTATAATTGTACTTGCATTCAAAACACCAGTATCTCAGATGCATTTTGACATTTATAAGTTTAGATGTCTTGCTTCAGTGCTATTACTGATAGAGGCGCTAGTTTCTCTTTCTTACAAGTTTCTTTTATAAATGGGGAATCATTGTCATGGAATTCCGGGCCAAATAAGTAAAGTCATCTTTGTTTTATAATATTTTTGTGATTAATACAACCGTTAAGCCGAACTAAACCACTCACAATTTTTCAGTGGGTGCAATTTATATTACTTATAGCGCAAAATTCTATAGCTATATCTTGCCACAATTTTCATATTTTTGATATTAACTGTTGCAACGTATCACCGCAATACAATAATTTTGGGAGAGAGCAGAACATATCGCATATTTTCTGATTTCTATCGTTTGTTTCAGGATCAAGCTGTGACGTAGTGATAAGCAGTGATAGCAGTAAAAATGGTACAGTGATGAGTCCATCGTACCCTTCACCTTACCCCCCAAAGACGACGTGTCGGTACGAGTTCCAGGGCAGGGGGAAGGAGCGGGTTCAAATCGTCTTTCAGGACTTTAACTTGTACCATCCGATGCCTAATGACCCTAAGGAGTAAGTATTTATTGTTAGCAAGTTGTTTCAAAAATAACACGAAGAGTTCCTATGATCTTGGGCAGTGAAATGCTTGCTTACCCTGATACAAATTTCTTTTAAATTCTTTTAAATTCGACTCACCATTCTCGCGTAAATGCACTAAGACAGTTTTGGAATTCAGAGTACTTTCAAAGATAGACAGAACTGAATTTTCTCAAAATCCTTTTTATTTTGCCCTGATGACTTTATTTGAGGTGGAATTTCAAAATTAAATGTACAAGTTTCTTGAATATAATGTATCTTATCTTCCGTCATCAGCTTTATTTTTTCTAATTGGATAATGGGTTTTTTCATGGGTGAATTTTCAATATGGCTCCAAAAATGTATATGAACATTGAAGTGCCCTTTAAAATTACAGCTCATCGCATGTTTATTCCATCCCATTAACAAATAAAGATTCATGGAGCACGCTACTAAATTTCAACTGATCAATTAAAGCAAGAGCCACAAACATATTATATAGAAGGTGGCCTAGGTAGCAAATCTCAGGACCAAATCCGAGTTACCTATCTGTCACGCCAGTTCAGTATTTACATAAGCTGTTTCACAAGAGATAAAAGGCTGCACAAAGCTGATACGGGTGTAGTTGAACATGCTGCCAAAGGGTTTCACCGTTCAATTCGCTACGAACTTACTGATATGTCAACATAAAAGGAGACCTCTGTCAATACGGGTCTCCCTTCCGGTTATAAATGGGAATTGCATAGGTATTTGATATCCAGGAGATGGGCAGATATGGCACACGGTGTTCAGCGAATGACTTACTCACACAGCAGTTCGGATAAGGTTGTCATTTATATCACAATTATCAGTTGAAGCTGTGTGCAAATTCTCAAAGCATTTTGTAATAACCTACCAAACGATTCCGTGTTGGACAATTAAAACTAACACTACATGATGGCGACAATTTGATGTGAGGCACCACTTTTACTTCCCATGCCGCCAAAATTGGCGAGGAAGTAAAAGCGACGAATTTCTGAATTGAGATCTTATGCTTTATGAATGTATACGACACCACGAAAAAACATTTCTTCCGATCTATCTGTCTGTCGGACGCTAATTTTACAACCGCCTATAACTTGAGAAGTCCGTCTCGGACTTTGATTAAATTTTCACAGAAGGTTGCTATTAGGTCCAGGATGAAAAAGCTTAGTTTTTGAAAATCGGCTTAGTGGTGGCGGAGCTAATGGCAGAAACACGAAAAGAAATAAAAATTGTTGGCCTTGCGTTTACGGCACTCCAACTGGCGATGCTTTTGTATAACATGACGTGTTGATATACGAGTACAACATACACTGACTGACAAACCAACATAAATTAGAAACACGGACTTGTATGATGCAGATATCTTTAGTAGCAGAGAACTTGTGAATATTATCCAGAATTTAATACTTCTGTCGTTTAGATAGTCGTAGATTTTGAAAATGGATTCAGATTGGGCGGAAATAAAGTCGCTGGAATATAGTGCTACAATTTTTCAGAGAGCCAGCCTTGAGTAATTCAGCAAAGAGCAATCGACTTAAATGCGGAACCGCGGCTCGTTTAAAAATTCCTTATAAATTATGATGTATTCATCATATAAATTAATGTGTTAAGTGAATGCGTGTATTCGTTGCATAGAAGAGCTTCTCCTAAACATGGAAATTAGGCATCGAAATGCCAAGTTATATGGAAGTTGTGTATACATAATAGAGTTCAATAATACATCAGTTTGATGACCACGGGGCGTGGACAGATAACTAGTCCGATTGGTGTTTACGTGAGGAACACTGGGGTAGCTCGATCGTACCAATAATTCCAACTTTCATTAGAAACATGCTATCAAAAAGATCTGTTAGTGTTAGTCATGGTAGCCAAACCTAACCAATGACAAGAAAATTCAAATTAAAATGATCTCATTGGCTATTTGCTACCTCCAATAACCATACTCCAAATTTAATAAAATGGCATGCCAAAGCTTACTCTAAAGGTGCACCGCTAATGAGGGAAGGCAGGCGATGCATATCTATAACTCTAGGTTGCTTTAGACACAATCCAATGAGAGGTCTCTCGTTAATTATGTTATACGCCCACCGAGACGAAGCATGTCAAAGGGAACCGCGACATTTGTCATTTGCACGCGTCAAAGTGACATGACGCTTCCCTTCGCATCGGTCCTATGCGCGGGCTCTCATTCCATTATGTGGAACAGCGCAGCGGTAGTTTGGCTTTCTTCTACTCCCTTGGTTTCCCTTCAATGGGCGTGCACCTTTATACGACCTGTATCTCAAGGGCGTCTATCATAATGTGAAACTTTGTACATAAATAACACAAAAAACGTTTTATCGGGTTCGGTTCTCAATTTTTAAGAACTAGAATTGTGTCACAGGAATATTTTTTCCTCATAAATTTATATGAACTTATGCGCTATCGGGTAAAAAAAGGCAATATTATTGTCAACATCGAACTGTCATTTTTCACAGCCTCTCTGAGGCCGTCTGTCACGATACGACATTTTGTACTGAATTCAACACGCCTTTTTGTATGGCCAAGGTTAGAGGAAAGTTTCATAAAAAGCGTTCTAAATAATATTTGCTACTAAAATTGCACGGAGGTGTACTGCACACTTTGGCTATATAGATAGAGATGGCAATAATTTGAAAACTGGGTTTATAGTAGTAGTTGGGGAAAACCACTAGAACCGGCTAAGATGACGGCAAAACTACAAAGAAAATGTCTATTCCAAACCTCAACGAGGATAGTGGGCAGAATAGATGTCTGACGTTGTGACAAATAACAGCTCAAAGTAGGCAGAAGTACAAAGGGTGCAATAAAAGTTTTCCAATACAACTTTATTTATTGACTACGTTCAAAGTAATTTCCACCACATCTAATACTTCTCCATTCACCAAAACCAGTCCTTAAACCAGCTCTGCCAAGTTTCACCCGGGAGTGCGGCACACTCGTTGTCCCAAGCCCTCAGAAAGTCCTCATCGCTAGAAAGTAGTGATCAAATATTTGGGGCAGGCTTTGGCGCGGTGAGCTGGAGCGTTGTCATGGTTGAGGTATCAAGTGCCAATTCTTGACTTTGGCCGCAGGTTTTTCATAGACTCAATGACTTTAGGCAGGCATTGTTCAGAGATGGGGATTTCCCGACAGAGAGTCTCGTCACCTGTCACGATGCTGTTCACATACCGAGATTGCTCCTTATCCAACATTTTCAGCATCTTCCTGCACCAAGTCGTACGACGAGTCTTCTGCTCTTCCGTCTGACTATGCGGTACCCAGAGATAACAAAGTTTCCTTACGTGTGAATGGTCATGCAGAATGGAACGAATTGCTGGTGCTTTACGGTGTAAGATCTCCTCTATCTGTTGGTGTGTCGCTCTCCAGTCTTCGTCAACCATTTTCCTCACAGCAGTAATATTTTCCTCTGTTACTGACGTTAGCGGCCTTCCTTGTCCCTCAGCGTCCTCCAGAATGAAATTGCGTCTTTGGAATTCTCTGTACCACCAGAATAAAGTCGTATGATGAGGAAAATCATCGGTTAATGCATGCTTCATGTCTTCTAAGCACTATGCCATAGCCCGCACTTTACACTGTCAATACGAATAAACAACTAAATGAACAGACGTGCTGCTGGCGGCTACTATGCACTCATGGACATGTGTCAACATGCAGCCTCGTGCGTTTGTTAAGTCATATTGAAAAACTTTTATAGTACCCTTTATAGCCTTTTTTACTCGAGTGCGCAAAGCTTCATACGAAAGCTGGTAGCATATTCCTTATGGTAAATGACTTCTTGTCAAATTGGTTGAAATTTAAGTATAATGTTCCCCATACCAATCTGATAAAAAGTTTCCATTTCACGATGCTACTGGCCATAGTAAATTCGAGAGAGGTGTGAAGTCAAGACAGACATCAGCATGATTTCACGATTTCTTTGGCCATTGATTAGAAACCCAGTAGTCAATCTACTAGATGTCTGCCGATTATTAGGCACACGTTTGATGGTATCAGATTACAATTCTTATGAAAAATAAATTCTTGGTAATCTGACTGATTTCTTAGTGTGGCATCGCCTATACTACTTTGAAGAAAAGTCTTTATGGGCAGTAGGATCGAATATCAATGCGCAAGGCATAGGGATATTTATGAAAAATAGCTCTCAAGTTATCTGATGTTTCAGCATGTTATTCTCCGTACTTCTTTGATCAAAAGTCTTCGGGAGCAGGAGGCTCCAATATCAGTGATGTCCAAGTTACCAGATGCGCAAGTGTAGCAAATTCAAAAATTTAATTTCGCGAAAAATGCCAGCGTGACCGTATGGTATCTTTGGAGTCTGACAAAAGTAATGAATAGATCTTTTTATATACCAAACAAGCCGCCCAGGCAGAAGCCTAGGATACCGCGGCTCTCGACAGCCTCGGGACAAAGGAGCTGTTCTGGATGCACGAAGTTCGACGTGGTTAGGATGGGAGACCGAAGTGAAGCAGGTCTGTCTGTCAAACACAACCTGCAGGACATCAAGGAGAACAGCTCTGAGGAGCAGTCAATTGGTGTAGCGGTAGAACAGAGCTAGATCGCCGACGGTCCGCCGATGCGAGAAGATCGCAAGACTGTCTGTGAAAGAAGAGACATTGATCGTGAAGAGGTCATGCGGAGGAAAGTACTTCTTAGCTTTAAACAAATAGCCTTACTTTTTCTCAGCAGCTGCCGCTATTGACGAGATGTGCTTGTTCCACATCAAGCCCTCGGTGACTCCCACCAGTTGAAATTAACGGCTTTTTGGCAGAACTCGACTATCCATCGTTACGAGTAGGACGCTTTTTGTTCGTCAAGGCACAGTACTGTGTTCTGGAAGCATGAAAATGTACAGGATTGTTGCGCCCTCAAGCAGTGATAACCTCTAGGTCTCTCTTCAGAGAGTAATACGCCTCTATTCTTTTTTTTCCGGCAGAGCCCGGCTTGTCGCTCTG